GATCGGCATCATCATCATTATCAGCTGCTAGAACCGCATACTTGTCTTTGAAAGCGATAACTTGGATGTACGAGTGCCATTGATGGTGCGACTGGGCAATGTCTGACAATGTCTGATCATTGATGTGACCTGTCTCGAAGTCGCCATCCAGGGATACAGCAATGATCAGCGCAACTGAGTTTGCTGGTAATGGCTTTCATATTTCGCTGTCAAATCGTTATTTGATCTCCCCTGGCTCCTCTCAACCCTCCGCGTGGTTGTGCGAAAGGAACCCTTCGAGGAAGTCCGTCGAATGACCTACGGAGCACTTGGCCGAGCCAGCGCAATCTGTGAAGTGTAACCAATTCATCTATCGTAGGCAAGTTATTTCTTTCCAATACCACTAGACGTATTTCATTATTGCTGATCCGGTGTTCCCACAGGGCTCGAACAATGTTCTGAAGACATACTGACGTTCTCGGCGCGCAGCGACCACGTTTCTGACCCGTATAACAATATGGATCGCACCGCAGCATTGGAAACTGGACCATTGGCGTCACACCTACGCCACAGATGATGTAGGTTCAGGAAAGCTGCAACGGCCTTCCCAAATCCGAATGGAAATATCATCTTTCGCTAAACCACCGGGACTGATACATCCCCGATGCTTGTGAATAAGCTGTCTGAGGTAGCAGATAAGTTTTCCACCTGGACGGGTGTATCAGTAAAAAGGATTTTTCTCAATTTTTACGGATACAGTTGCCCAAGTGGACAAACTTGTCTGCTACCTCAGGCGGCTCATCCGCAAGCATCAGGGCTCGAACCTATTCATTCTTGCAGTAGCACTTTACACTTTGCAGATGTGAAGCGGTGGCCAAACTGTGAGGCAGAATTATTTAGGTTATTTAATATCGGTTGCATTACTACAGCATCAGATTCAAGAAGAGCTATGTAGACTGGGTACTCGATATCTATGAGCGAACCCCACGGGAAACCTTCGTCCTCACAGGCAACAGAGGCTGGTAGTGTGTCTTGCATTATCGTATTAATTATGGAGTTGATTAGGAATGGTGGAAGAGGCAGACCTGCGTGTCATCACTTGATGTGGTTAACACAGGTGAGATGGACACAAAACTGTGCGGGCAAAGATACTCCCCGGTTTCCCAGGCTGAAGAAAGGGATTTGGTCCCTTGATCCTTTGACTCAAAAGTCTGACCGACAAGGAAGTGGGAGGATGTAGGGTATTGTTTGGGGACCCTGCCTCTAGCCTCTCACTCAAATGCCTGACCTACTGGGCTGTACGGGGTAGACCTAATCCTTGGGGGCAGGGAGTAGGGCATTACTGTCTCACTCCTGACGCGGATGCGCACAGCGGGTGCCATTTGAGCAGTACGAGACCCGGGTTTTAAAAGGATTTAGACCGTACTGAATGATGCGCCGGCGGTCATTGTCCACCGTTGGGCGATTGGAGTGTGCGGGTTTTAGGGCCTACCTTTTCCAACCCGCCGTTCCTCGGGGAAGTCAGCATCATTGCTTTAATAAATATGGATATGCTAGTTGCCTGGATGGAGCATCTTACTGCCTTCACACTCCTATTGCGGAGGACAGTAGGACTTTACCCCCAGACCGCCTCGTAGCGCGACTGGTGATGTAACGGCGGATACTACTGATAGGGTATGCGAGTAGTTTGTGTTTTTTTCGAAGCTCCTCCCGCGTCTATTAGAAGACGAGGTTGATCACGGAACTGCTTTGGAACTGCTTTGCAGCGTTGGTTTACAGTTGCGTGATGATCAATGAATATCCATGAAAGTTCAAGAAGACGAGTGAATGTTCAGTTTTTAAAACTTATATGTATGTGAGACGTTTGCTTTCCTGTCCGATAGTCTGCAACTGTTTGGTTGGTGTTTGCTAATGAACGAATTGGCAGCGAAGGACTTTCCTCCTTATACCGGCAGTACGGCGTCTAGCTGCTCTTGGTTCGACTGCTCCAATTTGGCATGGTCGCACGTTGGGGAATGAGGTTTCAGCCGGTGTGGCCCGCGGGATTATTTCAGCACTCAAACCCGACCATCACATCAAGGTGGCAGTTTTAGGTCGGGGCAACCGGTCGCATCAGGAAACAGGTGAGACCCCTTCAAACTGACTAGCGCCGACAATCCTACGTCTACATGCCAAAAGAGGGAGGTGTCAGAATGGTCAGATTGCCGAAATTAGTTCCAGAATGCCCGAAATCTACTGAGACAATCAAACCCCACTAAAATCGCGGTAGGAACTCCGTCATGCATCCAAACCAGAAAGTCAGCTCAAGCAGTCAAACAGTTTAGGAACGGCCGAAAGTTGCTCATGCATACCTCAGAAGCACGACCGAAGGTAGTAAGTGTTTAGGTATTTCATAGAAGCGCACTCGATGATGATGGGTGTTCATCAAAAGCCGATGAAAAAATAAAAAATAATCATTCGGCTGTAACACTCTTTCGGTGCCTAGCTGCCATGCCGCCCGAAGGAAGCTAATCAGACTGCCGGGATCAATATAAAAAGTGCCCTCTAAACACCGCGAGCCCCCTCGTAACTTTTGCATTCGCTTGTTTGCCATAAAGCTGTTGTGTTACTTGTTGGCGAATCTTTTCTCGTTACTAAGGCGTTGGAGCATGGGCCGGCGTTTCTCTCAGAAGACCATCCTCTCCTCTCGTCATTTTCCCCTGTGATCTGCTGTTTTCCTCATACACGGGTGAAAGAATGGCTGACGCTGCTGCCCTGCAGGGTACTACTGGATCTCATTTGGAAGCCTCATGTGTTTCACAATTCTCGTTCTGTGGCGTCAGTGTCTGTTTGTATGCAATCTAGTCCTGCTACATGCATGCTCTGAACAAGGGTTCAGTCTACCACCATTTTTGATCTTTTTCCTTCTGTTGATACATTAGCCACAAACGATGGATGAATGCAGAGTTTTATTTGCGGGACCGGTTGCTAGTGTTTTCGTTAACAGACCAACCTACGAGTCGGTAGGTGAAAATATATTCTCGCGAGATCTAGCCAGCGAAGAACTCTTAGAGCGGGGTGGGGGCTTGCTTGGACTGTTGTATGAGAAGCCATAGAAGTCGGGCCCTCAACTGCTACATGCAAAAGCGAGATTTGGACGCGCCCGTGGTTCTTGTTTTCTGGTGTTTACTAGTTCACCGGATCGGGTACTTTTGGACCAGAGGTACATCGCTTACCGAGGATGCTCTAGTTTGAACTCCTATATAGCTGTGGATTATTATCGTTGGGGTTCACCGAGATTGGGTGGCACTAAGCGCTACTCGGCGTTTTGTCCGAAGATGCTAGCTATCGGACGATCAAGCAAGTCCTGTTGAGAAGAAATGCTCTCTCTTATACCAGCACTGGTCAACTCGGTAAGAGAGACCATGTATTACACCCGATATTCTAGTAAAACTCGATGGTTAACGGAGTACCTAAACCAATCTCTTTGTAACGGGACTTTAGTCTTGCATCGGTTTTGCAACGTCTGCTCGTCACATGGGGTCAACATCCTCAGTTATCTCCAAAGCGAACTTCAAGCCTCGACACCCAGTCTATCTAGCCTGCTTCAATGTCCGCCCTCTGAAGCAAGCAGGACAGCAAGCTGTTCTTACACTCACACTGGACTCACTTGTCATTAATGTGTGCTGTGTCTCAGAAACAAGAATTCAAGATGCAAGCACAGTGGTTGAGCTAACCGCTCTATCACTCTTCACTCGCTTCCGGCTACGCACCTAGTGATGCAGAGGCTACTGCGGTGGGGTGTGTAGGGGTTGGTGTCGTCCTAAGTCACCGGGCGAAAGGGTCCTTGTTTGACTAGATACTTGTCCACAGTCGCCTCTGTGCGGTTCGTCAGGTAACGTGTGTGAAGGAGCCTCACAATTGGCAAGTTGATAGACGTCTGTCTATCGTGTATGCTTACGCCCCAACTGAATGCAGCTCCGACGCCGTCAAAGACAGGTTTTACGGCTCCCTGAATGCTCTATTGCGGCGAGCTAAAAACTCAAATATCGTGGTGGTTGCCGGAAATTTGAATGCACAAGTGGACAGGCTCAGCATATCTGAGACTCAATTAGGAGGTCGACATGGACAATGCTGAACGATTGCTCCAGCTGTATGCTGATCGCAGGTTGTTTTTATGCAGTACTAACTTCAGAAATAGCGGAAATCGTTTGGCCCCATGGTGTCCTCCAACGGCATGCTGGCCACAAACTCAAATCGACCACCTTGCGATTACGCGGATCAACATTTGTGGATTTCGACCACGCACACGTCCGAATTCGCTTCTCTCTACGTTCTTCTCGGTCGTGTATGTTGTGGACAAGTCGCTTTGAAACTGAAAGACTGGCAGATCCGGGTGTTAGACGAATTTGTCGGAACCATCTAGAGTGTCTTCTTAATGCTCCACCATCCGATGTTAACCCATGCTGGGAGAAGATTGTCTCTTCTTTGCTTAGTGCTGGGAATTTCGCCTATGGCACGGTCGCACTCAACTCCTGGACGGTGAACGTGGAACTCTTTGTGGCCTCGAAGGTTTACAACTGCATATATCCTCTCAAGCGCCACCCAGCTCCTGGATGACCTTCCATCCGAATGGTTCCAAGGTGGGGGTGAAGTCCTCAGTTAGCGCTTGTATGATCTATTTGCTTGCGGCTGGGTAAAGGAGTCTGCCCCAGACAACTGGGGAGAGTCAATGATAGTGCCCATTTTCAAGGGCGCGTAGTGAGTGTGGTAACCAAAGGGGGATCAGCTTGACCTCGGTGGTAACGAGACTGATGGCGTCACTTGCGCTCCGTCGCCTTACGGAGGCTCATGAGACCGACTCGAGAGCAGCGAGCGGGATTCTGGCCTGGTAGAAGTTGTGTTGATTAAATCTTCACACTCCGTCAGGTGCTAGAACGACGCCATGCGTACAAACAACCCACAGTTTTAGTGTTCCTGGATTTCCAAGGCGCATTCGAATCCGATGACCGGCCTGTTCTCCTTTACAAGATTGCCCACCCATGAATGCACAGGCAGTTCGTGAACATAATACGTTCTTTGTATTCTCAGATTTCCGGACGTACGAGAGTAATGGAGTGCTCTCCAAAAGCTTTCGTATACAAAGCGGTATCCGTCAGGGATGCCCACTCTCTCCATTCTTTTTTTATTTCGTGAAATGAAATCAATGAAATCTTGAGACGAAGGAAGGTCTTCAAAATCCTGGTGTTCATATAGCCTGTGACGAAAACCTTGTGGATCTGGAATATGCAGACGACATCGTTCTTATCTTCGAATAGGAGGAGAATGCGCAAGTACTTCTGGATGAACTGACCAGTCATCCCGTCCCTTATTGTACACTTTGCACCCACAAAGTGCTAGGTCGTGCTCATGGACACGCGCCACTTACGATCCAGGGAGAGGTAATGGAAGTTGTGGAGCATTTTACGTACCTTGAAAGTTGTGTTAGTTCTGATTGTAAAGTGACAGATAAGGTCAATGCACGAATCTGCAAGACTCGGGCCGCGTTTGCCCATTGGAGACACCTATGGCGTCAGAGTGGTTTATTTCTGAATCTCAAGGGACGTATGTATCAAGCTACAGTACGGGCTGTTTTATTGTATAGACGTAAGACTTGACGAGGCAATCAGAAAGCGAGTTTTCTGCGCATTCGGGACTTCCATTGAAGAATGTGTCCAGCACCAGAAGCTGCGTTGTTTGGGATATGTGTTGCTTATGCCTAACCATCGTTTCCCGAGGAGAGTTATGTTTCCCATGTCCAACTCAGAGTGGCATAAGCGGAGAGATGGGCAACCCGTGCCTGGCAGTGTGGTATGAAGGAGATTAGGAAACGTGTGGGTGCTGTCGGTGCTACTCGCTTTCCGGGATAGGGATCGCGTGATCCCCATTGCGCCTGGTAGGAGACTATGCAACACATGGCTTGCAACCGATGTCAGTGATGACCTTGCTGTTCATATCTGTCCACATCGCCTGAACGACTGTCTGGAGGTGTAGACACCTCGGAATGATTGTAGTGAGCTAGTACTAAGTCGCTTACCTGTCCAAATTTATTCTTTTCTTTACAATAAGGCTTTTAAATAAGTCCTGGTTGTACGGCGGTGAAGCATCGGTGTTGAACACTGATGTCGATGATGATGATAATGATAATCATCTGTTGCATACAGACTATGAAACATACCGGTGGTTCGGTTACTTGATGGGCGTCTTTCTGTTTTGTTTGCATCCACCCGGTTTTTGTTGATATATAAATTAATCATGCTTATTGTTACTCGTTTTCTCAGTCTTATAGGTAACAAGCCCGGCTTGTGATTCGTCCATTTTAACCTGGCCATGGGACTGAAAAGGAAGGCATCTGACAGAGCTTCTGTATCGCTCCCATGCACCGAAGGTATGTGCTGTGCTCGTAGTGTCACTTTTCTTTCTAGACCTCAGTGACGCCAGTGAAACTGACGATGCTTACGAGGAGAAGGTGCAAGATTTAAAACGTCAACTGAAACAGTTGGACGATAAGACACACCCTGGTTCGTTTCTGGCACATTTGTTTATTTTCAATCTGATATTTTGACAGACTATTTGAAAGTCAGACGCAAAGCTGAAGCTTGGTTGAACGAGGAGAAACAACGTGTTCAAATTCTCCACGAACACCGGGTAAGTTTGTTCCGCTTTCATTCGACGGACGGGTTCCACAGTTGGAAACTATAGCTCGGGAGTATAAGAAGGAAATGGAGGCTTGTGAACGTGATTGTGAGGTAACTCGTCACGTTTTGTTAGTCTCAATCCACTTGCTGCATAGCTGGAAAAACGGCGCATTCAAGAATACCTTGTTTCTCTATGCGAGGAGCTGAAGCGACGTCTTGAACACGACAAGAAGAATATCGAGTTAACTCCTAGCGGGGGTGAGTGCTATCTGTATATGCATTGAATAGTTTGCTTAAGAAAGCCACTGCCTACAAATGTTTAGGTAAAAATAGTTATTTCCAAAAATGGTCCTTCGGATGGGAACGTGCTCCTCGTAGTGTATCCCAGTTACCCGTCAGCATGTGTCTCGTGTACCTCCCGAAAAGAGGCAATTGTCAGAGGAAGCGAAAATCTGGTTCTGTGTCGCTGCAACTGGTTGTTCGTAGAATCAGGTCATTGTTTTTGTAGACCTAAACCAAGTTGCCGATTTTTCACTCCTCTGTTTATATCCGGCTTGTTTAGGCTCGCTCTAGGGAATGTATGGGTATTAACGATAGTAGGCGGTCCTAAGTCCCAGAACCGTGGCTACCGTTCTGATTTACTTGAGACTTCTAGGATGCCTTAACCTGAAAAAGGGTGGATGAATGTATTTCATCCATAAAATCCGCACACTCCAGCCGCCATGTATTGTTCTACTTGCTTAAAAAACGGTGGCATTCAGAACCAGCTAGTTGTCTTATTCCCTGCACCTCTGGGTCAGGTCACAAACAAGGAGGTCAGAGTGTTTTGTCATTCACTTCGTATAGGGCCTCCCAAGACAGCCAGAACAAGAGCAACGTTGAAGCATCGTGTTGAACACTGATGTCGATGATGATGATAATGATAATCATCTGTTGCATACAGACTATGAAACATACCGGTGGTTCGGTTACTTGATGGGCGTCTTTCTGTTTTGTTTGCATCCACCCGGTTTTTGTTGATATATAAATTAATCATGCTTATTGTTACTCGTTTTCCCAGTCTTATAGGTAACAAGCCCGGCTTGTGATTCGTCCATTTTAACCTGGCCATGGGACTGAAAAGGAAGGCATCTGACAGAGCTTCTGTATCGCTCCCATGCACCGAAGGTATGTGCTGTGCTCGTAGTGTCACTTTTCTTTCTAGACCTCAGTGACGCCAGTGAAACTGACGATGCTTACGAGGAGAAGGTGCAAGATTTAAAACGTCAACTGAAACAGTTGGACGATAAGACACACCCTGGTTCGTTTCTGGCACATTTGTTTATTTTCAATCTGATATTTTGACAGACTATTTGAAAGTCAGACGCAAAGCTGAAGCTTGGTTGAACGAGGAGAAACAACGTGTTCAAATTCTCCACGAACACCGGGTAAGTTTGTTCCGCTTTCATTCGACGGACGGGTTCCACAGTTGGAAACTATAGCTCGGGAGTATAAGAAGGAAATGGAGGCTTGTGAACGTGATTGTGAGGTAACTCGTCACGTTTTGTTAGTCTCAATCCACTTGCTGCATAGCTGGAAAAACGGCGCATTCAAGAATATCTTGTTTCTCTATGCGAGGAGCTGAAGCGACGTCTTGAACACGACAAGAAGAATATCGAGTTAACTCCTAGCGGGGGTGAGTGCTATCTGTATATGCATTGAATAGTTTGCTTAAGAAAGCCACTGCCTACAAATGTTTAGGTAAAAATAGTTATTTCCAAAAATGGTCCTTCGGATGGGAACGTGCTCCTCGTAGTGTATCCCAGTTACCCGTCAGCATGTGTCTCGTGTACCTCCCGAAAAGAGGCAATTGTCAGAGGAAGCGAAAATCTGGTTCTGTGTCGCTGCAACTGGTTGTTCGTAGAATCAGGTCATTGTTTTTGTAGACCTAAACCAAGTTGCCGATTTTTCACTCCTCTGTTTATATCCGGCTTGTTTAGGCTCGCTCTAGGGAATGTATGGGTATTAACGATAGTAGGCGGTCCTAAGTCCCAGAACCGTGGCTACCGTTCTGATTTACTTGAGACTTCTAGGATGCCTTAACCTGAAAAAGGGTGGATGAATGTATTTCATCCATAAAATCCGCACACTCCAGCCGCCATGTATTGTTCTACTTGCTTAAAAAACGGTGGCATTCAGAACCAGCTAGTTGTCTTATTCCCTGCACCTCTGGGTCAGGTCACAAACAAGGAGGTCAGAGTGTTTTGTCATTCACTTCGTATAGGGCCTCCCAAGACAGCCAGAACAAGAGCAACGTCTTGGAATCAAACTTCACCCTCTCCCACAGCATTGTGGATCAGGATCTTGAGTCAACCACCTAAGGCTGAATAAGGAAGCGGGGAAGCGTCGTTCGCCATTGTAACTCTCTTCACTAACCCCTACGAGGATACAGAGGATACACGGAAAAATAGCAATGATGGACTTGGGAGATGCATGCTTATGAATAGTTGGAGGTTGTAAGAGTTTGGGACCACCGAAAGACAGAGTTCTGGAGCCGTACTGTTGTGGGAAAATGGGGCGAACAAGCGTTCTGGTTCTGCGGTTGGGGATTGAAATCAGGTGGGGGTGACGGATTTAATCGGTGGGTAGCCTGTTTTTTTTTACACTATTGCCTTGGTCTATCTCAGTACATCTGCCATATCGTTAGTTTCTCGATTTGAAGACTACTTTTTTCATCGCTGTTTTATCTTGGTGAGTTTGGTGAGCAGTATTAGTGTCTCATGCTAATTTCTGTATATACTCTTGTACTCATAATCCCCGTAGAAACATCATTAATGAAGGCTTCACATTCTCGAAAAATGGGAATAAATAGTCAGCATTTTGTTGTTTATTTCCGTGTGGATTTGTATCCTTTCTAGGTAACCAGTATCACTCCGTATATGGTGATAATATAATAATAATAATAGTCGTTCAGCTAAAAATCCTTTCGATGCCCACGCCACCCGAAGGAAGCACGAGGGCTGGGATAGTGACAGGTTGATCGGGTCTAAAAAGAAGCAGTCGAGGTGCCGGGACTGGTTTCGAACCACGTAACTTCCGGCCAATGAGTTGGCTTTTTAATCACTGACCTATCTGGAGCTCGTGTGTGATGATATTTCCTCTTTTATCGGAGGGGCGTTCACTTAATCGTGTATGACGGGAAACGTCCCTTCGTAATCAACAAAGAAGAGGTATCTGTCCAGAGATATCTCTTCAGGACCATTACTATACTTCTGCAACTAATCGAGCTTTGCTGTTCATGTAAAGCTTATAAGATGCCCTGCATGGGGAACTGAGAGTACGAGGGACCGCCCTGGTTCGTGTAAATATTCCCGTTTTAAATCAGAATACGAAAGTTTGCGAACAAATCGTCATCAGATCGCCAAATGCTACAATTAAATCTGGAATAGTGTCATAAAGGTGCTTCACAACAGGCATAGAACAAGGATATTACCTGATTAGTTTGTTTCCGGGGGACCGTTTGGTTGGCCAGAACAGTCTCAAGTCTTTCGTATGCCCTTGATACATGTGGGACCAGCTAACCGAACAGCAATCGCCTCGGCTATTCCCACTTTTCCTTGGTGCATGACTTTAGACTGATTTGCTATCTGGGGAAATGTTGGTAGCTCAGGCAGCGTAGATGATCTTTGATTTGTTTGTTGAACTAAGCAATTTGATTTCACTACCAATCTAGGTTACATCATCAGTCCGTTGTTGTGGAGCGTGGTGGTACGTAAGTAGTTGTAGCCTCTAAATGACAACGATTCCACCAGATTGGTTTGGTGGTTGTTATCGACCAAATGAACGGCAATCGCACTGGTCACGTGTCTGTCCAGACTAGCTCTCAAGCAGCTTGGCCTGTGGTCACAAATTCTCTCTGACGGGCAGCGAGTCATGTGGCCCACATGGTTTGCTGAACACTGGCAGACAAATAAAAAAATCACATTTAATGCATGACGGACTGGAAATCTATCTCCAAAATTGATGTCGAGCATTGAAGTGCTGAAGTCTGCATTGATCGTCTCGAGGCACAGGCCAGGTGACGGGTCAACGTTTCGGAAACTGTGTCGCTCTTACTGTGAAAGGCAGGTTTAAATGGGCCTTTCTCAACTGATGGACTTCCGGGGGGAGGGTTATACTAGGTCATTGATTTGAGGTGTCTCTTTGTAAACTGCTATGGATGTCCGTTTTGTGTCAGGCTTTTACGCACTAGCTGCAGCTGGGCATCCGACAGATTCTACATGTTCTGCAAATCAGAAACCTTATTAACTTTTTTATACTCGGTGTCCACAATGCTGCAAAATTAGTATACTGGCGTGACCACCTGAATTTCCGTACGTACTCCTCTTTAACGATCCATTTTGTCCTCGGGAACCGGAACGAGTTACTGGCTTCTAAATCCTCAGTGAAGCTGAGTGTAGTTTGAGTGGAGGTAAAAGATTCAAGGAGATTTGTCACCGTCATATGGGATTCTTAAATGATAACAATACCGTCATTTGGATGGAGATTTCGTACCATAAGTGAAGCCAATCTGTGCAGATATTCCATCCGTATTAAAAATCACCAACAGTTGACATCTCACGAAGCTTCAGGGAGTCCCGATTCACGACCTCCGAGCCAGTAGTTTGAACATTTGGCCGTTCGGTCACGAGCAGTGTGGTTAGCTTGCACTTAGACAGGATATAGCGCCAGTCATCCTTCAGCCATGAAGTCTACCTAACGTGGTCACGTGTTGACTGACTGGATCATCGAGTGACCACTACTCAGATGGGATTTTTAATCATCGGGTCAGTCATCGCGTGACCACATGCTGTGGACCCCATGGGTGAAGGATTAGTAGCGCTATATCTTGTTTAGGTGTGAGGTAACCACGTTGCTATTCCGCAACTCCTTACGGAACGGTTAAATTTTCAAACTGCTAGCCAAGAATTCGCTGGTCGGAAATTCTTTAGAGTTTCGTGAGATGGGCACTGCTGATGACTCCCAATATTTGTGAAACAGCTGTACAGTTCTTTGTCTTCCAACATTGATTTCTTCGCTTACAGGACAGTCTCCACTAAAAATTCACAAACCTCCGCTCACTACTGACAAAATTATCGTCCATGTAACGTCTACAAAAGGGCATTTGTTCAGGAACTTTTTTTTATAACTGCATTCAAGCTTGCTCACAAAAGGTCAGCTACCCTCGGACCGAGCGGTCAACCCATCACAACTCCTGATGCCACTGAATAAAAATCAAGTGTTAACAGTTGGTCGTTGGCATGTTCGCTGAGCTGGGCAATTTGGTTGCAAACGTTTCATCACCAATCGAGGTGACATCATCAGTGCGTAGTTGTGCGTAGCGGTGGGTTAGTGGTTGTGTTGACAGTCTACAGTAAAGGTAACTCTGAATTCAACAGTTGTAATAGGGGACCGATATTTGGGTTGTAGACAAGGTCGCCTATATAATCGCTTGCTTCAACTAAAGAAATACTGGTGAATAGGGTTGAAATGTCTGCTTTGTGTCCGTGTTGCAGCTCATTTGCCTGCTACCAAGAGGCATTTGCCGGTGCGACACTCAAAGCCTGCGTGATGCACCCGTCAGAAAATCTATCAATAGAAGCCGTCTAGACAGCTCTAGTAGGTATGATAATCCGTTAGACTAACCTTCTCACACCCTGTCATTGTGCGTTTGCCTCCAACTCTTGCAATTCCCTAGTCCGTATAGCGAAGGTTAAATTCGTCAACTGAAAGACTTCAACTGTGAAGTTTATCCACTAGGACCAATTCCTTCTGTAGCCTATCCAGATCATCATCATCATCTGTTTGGAAAGCATGACATCAGTTTTCAACGCTGATGCTTCGCTGCCGTTCAACCATGATTTATTTGAAAACTTTCTTGTGAAGTGGACACAGGGGACTTACAGCTACATTAATACAATCATTTCGAGGTGCCTACATCTCCAGACCGTCACGAAGAGACTGGACCTTACCGTGGTGTGACGGTTTGCGCACCTCAGCGATCCATTGAGCTATACTGGAGAGTGTCTCGCGACACTCACAGAGTCTCTCATACCAGATTGGTCAATGGTTAGAGGTCTGACGAACACAGTCTCATGGCCCTCCATGTTGGGGGTTGGAACATGTGGCGACTTGTTCCGTAGAAATGGTAATGCATTTGCATTTCCCGCCAAACACCGCTGCCTTGCGGTGAGGCTTTTGAGCCAAAGGCTTTGGTTGAGGACCCTAATCGTCCTCCTGTCTAGGTGTGGGCGCCCTGACAGTATCCCAGCCCACGTACAACCATGAATTGCACATACACAAATAAACTCATGCCACATCGGCCGTCGCGTGGTGCCATCAGCCGGGTCG